TGATTCCTTAATGAGCGACCACTATGAAATAGTGGATAGAGTATAGAATAGAGGGTAAGGGTTGAGGCTAGGGTTAAGGCGATAGGGTAGGGTTAGGGGGTCAGGGTTAGAGGATGGGATAAGGTTTGGGCTTGGGTTACGGGTTGGATTAGTGGTAGAGTCAGGGGTAAAGTTATGCGTCTTCTTTATTGTTTGTTGGGGTGGTCGCTCGTTACGGAGGTCCGTGTGGGTGGTTGGCTGGGATGCTCTGGTGTGGTTTGCTCCTTCTTTCCTATCAAACATCTATCGTCCTTATCTCTCCTCCTTTTTGTGTTTATTACTCTTTTGTAACACCTCTGATCTTTCGGCACTTATACATGTATGACCTTATTGTGTTGCAAGTGCCGTAAAATTCTTACTAAAACAAAAACGTAAGTCCTTCTGAAACAACAACCCGTTGCTTCCATATATCGACTGAAAACTGCCTTCCCACCAGTGTGAAAGCAATGCCAAATACAAGAGGTGTTGAGAAGAACAAGAAAGAACAAATTTTAATCATTGAAAAGTTTCTGCTGCTGATGCCTTCGTCAAGACGCGGGCCTTTTGGATGAAGGTCAGGAGTCAGAGAAGGGAAAAGACCTTCTTAAAATAAATTACTTTAAAATATATTACTTTTATTTGTCCCGAAAGAGCAATTTAGTTTACGATTGCCGAAATGCATTTACATACATAAATACATAATTATAAATACGTATATACTTAAATACATATATAAAGACATACATAAATTATACATACATAAATACACTATAATTGCACCAATACAGAACAGTTTACAACCATGCCACTGTCAGTCGCCACTGTGGAGCGCACAAAATCAGACTTCTGCTCCAAGAACTTGTCTTATACTACTATGTTGTGCAGTTTTAAAACAGACGAACATAATAATTCCTATTATTTTAAGGCGGCCGTTATATTTGTTGTACAAGTACTTACAGTTAATGTTCTATCTGACGATACCAAAGTTGCTCTAGATTTATTACGACACCCCCAAGCCTTTAAACCAAAGTAGCAGAGGGAGAATTATGGGAATCAATAATTCTGTTATAAACACGAGCATCAAACTTTTTTCTTTGTTTTTTTCCCAAACATTTAGTTTGTTCTCTTTGTTTACAATTGTAGCAGCATATAGACTGTCATCACTGTCGCCGATATGTCACAACCTGACCATCGCCCGCTCTCATAACAATTCACCAGTCGTATCTGTAAACACGCGGTGTAAGGGTGAACGACAAATTAAATGTCAAACGACTCCCCCCCCCCCCCCCTACTTCAGCAAAGCAGACTTTTGAAACAGGTTTATGAACAGTTTGATTAGAACCCTGCTAAACTATTTAAAGCATTAGAAATAGAAGGGTTTTAGTAATAACGTTTTTTGTTTGCTTTTCTTTTGTTTTTGTTTTTTCCTCTCTTGGAAAAATCCCCTCTCAAACTGCACGGTACCATTCACCATTTTCTCTCAAGACGGCAGAATGCCCAAACCGTTTAAGGCCTTGTACTTTTAACAAAAAGGTGCGGTGGCGGAGCGGTTATTGCGCTCGTCTCCGAAACGGAAAGTCAGGGTTCGAGCCTCGGTTAGGACACTGATTTTTTTCGCCACCTCCTGCCCACCCAGCAGTGATTGGTACCTGACTTCGAGTAGGGGAAGTGAAGGCCGCGTGGAAAGGAACTGGCCACCCTAACACAATATGCAGAAGGCCCAGGAAGTTATCTCACTAACAAGGCAATCCCCGATGTACGGATCGGATGCGGGAACAACTTGACTTTTTACTCTGAACAAACAGGCAAAAAACAACAATTTTTCGCCTTTTATGATTCCGATTAATTAGTCAATATCTACAACTCATCCACAGACACTGCAGTTGTTGAAGACAATATTATTATTGTGTTGACTTGAAGCCAATTCTTTCTTTCAGATGTTTTTTGGAACCTCGTCCAGCTTCAGTTTTCTTTTTCATTCCTGGGACTGCCGGACAGCTGAAGGTAATAGGCATAGTATTATTACTATTATAAACAGACATGTCACAGTTTGTAATTTGTTTGGAACATAATTTGATAATACCCATTTTCATTATTAGCTTTGTGAGTGGTTGGCGGGTGGTTTGGTGTGGTTTGCTCCTTCTTTCCTATCAAACATCTGTCGTCCTTTTATCTCCTCCTTCTATTTTGGGTTTGTTACTCTTGTAACACCTCTAATCTTCGGTACTTAAAATGACCTTATTGGGTAACAAGTGCCGTAAAACTCTTACTAAAACTAAAAATATTATTAGCTTTTTGCACGATAAGAGGCTGGCATCACTTTTTTGTTTGTTTTTTCTTGTTCAACTCTTTGTTCCCCTCGTTTTACCCCCCCCCTCTCTCCCTTCAACCATAATGTATACCATGTATATTATGTATAGGGGGCTCTCGTGGCCTAGAGTTTACGGTGTTTGCCTCTTTTCAATAGGTACCGGGTTCGATTCAGGATATATAGTGACGTAAATTTTCTTCTCTTAAATTGACTTCTTTCACCTCCTTTCCTACTCTCTGGCAATGTTCTGTCGTCTGCTTTCATTTCACTTTCTGCCCCCACCCCCTCACTTCCTTTGCCCCCTTATAATCCTATGGGCTCCTGACTCTTTCTGCAGCCTTTCGCAATGCTGCTCCTTTGCTACCTCTTCCTTTCTTTCAGACATACCCCTCTTTCAGCCACACCCCTCTTTCAGCCACACCCCTCTTTCAGCCACACCCCTCTTTCAGCCACACCCCTCTTTCAGCCACACCCCTCTTTCAGCCACACCCCTCTTTCAGCCACACCCCTCTTTCAGCCACACCCCTAATCCTATGGTAGAAAAGATCCTCACCTTGCCTTCTCGGGCAAGGGCGAAAAATCTCGGAGGTCCTGTGTGCAAGTTGCGCACGTTACAGATCCCTTAGTGGTCTAAGATTGATAAAGGTAGGCTTTGGCCGCCATCCGGGCAAAATTCAAAATTTCCTTCCAACTGAAAATACTAAATTTGTCCCGCTTGCTCATATGAACTTATTCTGTTGCGAGCGCCGTAAAGCACTATATAAAAAACAAAAAAACAACAAAACAACAACCCCCCCCCACCTGTACATGTATTTGTATAGTTTATTATGTGTATGTGGGTGGTTGGCGGGTGCTCTGGTGTGGTTTGCTTCTTCTTTCCTATCAAACACACCTATCGTCCTTATCTCCCCTTCTTCTTTTTTGTTTGTTACTCTCTTGTAACACCTCTAATCTTCTGGCGCTCAAATGACCTTATGCAGTTGCGAGATCCGTAAAACGTCTACTAAAGCAAACATTATGTATATTATTGTGCATATTATTATTATTATTATTATATCCCCCCTCCCCCCAAAGGATTCTTGGCGGCCCTTGTCGTGACGCTGCTCATCTCTTTGCTCAACGAGGCTTTGGCTTATTCGCTGCACCTGGAAGAACATGTCTTTGGCAGATCTGGGTGAGTTTTTTAGTTTTAGTAGAAGTTTTGCGGCGCTCACAACTGCATAAGGTCATATGAGCGCCAGAAGACTAGAGGTGTTACAAGAGAGTAACAAACATAAAAAAGAAGGGGAGATAAGGACGATAGATGTTTCATAGGAAAGAAGAAGCATCTAGTTGAGTATAATTGGTCGCTTTTAACACTTGGCTCTCACTTGCCGCAATAATGCGACGGGGAAAGTTAGCAGTTCCTGTCTGTTGTAGTGACTCTCCTGGCTGGGTGACCAGATAGGGTATTTTGTACTGCGAGCTGTGTGACTGCAAAGTGTTAAGGACAAGCAGGCTAACCCAGATTTCGAGGGTTTCCAGAAACCAAGACCTACTCCAAAAGTGGGTATTGCCCTACCTATAGAAGTTTGGTTTCATTGGTGTGCATACTTGTTTGGGCATAGAGAAAACTCATTGTCTTTTATAGAGACTGAACAAGGGTCCAAAAACTTTACCTTCGATATTCTCAAAATAATTTTTTTTAAATTATTTTTTTTTACGGGATAGCCCCCTTGTGCTTAAAAGCGAGCAATTATCGTAATAAATGGTGGAGAGTAACAGGGCCTAACCTCATCTCGATTTGTTGAACCAAAGCAACATGGTTAGATCGAGATTATCAGGTTTCACCACAGGTGGACACGCACACACATTCACACACACACACACACGCACACACACTCACTCACGTTCACACACACACGCACACACGCACGCACACACACACGCGCACACATTCACACACGCACACATTCACACACGCACACATTCACACACGCACGCACACACGCACGCACACACGCACACACGCACACACACGCACACACGCACACACGCGCACACACGCACACACGCACACACGCACACACGCACACACATATACACATACACACACACATTCACGCACACACACACGCGCACAAACACACACACACATACACATACACATATACACACAAACGCACGCGCACACACGAACACACATTCACGCACACACATTCACGCACACACATTCACGCACACACATTCACGCACACACATTCACGCACACACATTCAAGCACAAACACGCACAAACACGCACAAACACGCACAAACACGCACAAACACGCACAAGCACGCACAAGCACGCACAAGCACGCACAAGCACGCACAAACACGGACAAACATACATGCACACACACACACGAACACACACACGCAGACACACATTCACACACTCACACTTGCACACACTCACACACACTTACACAGGTATACATAACTCTAGAGAAATAAATGTTTGAAATTTAAATGTGTGTTTGTATGTGTGTGTATGTGTGTGTGTGCTGTTTGTGCACGTGTATGTGTGCGTGTGTGTGTGTGTGTGTGTGTGTGTGTGTGTGTGTGTGTGTGTGTGTGTGCGTGCGTGGATGGGTGTGTCTGTTTGGCTATTCTGTGGTGTGTGTATGTTTATAGCGTGAGATTTGTACGTTTATATTGCTGCTATGCGTGTATGTGTTAATTTGCACATATTATTTGTATCCTATTTTTGTTTGTTGAAATTCCTCTTTTTCGTTGCTTCCCTGCAGGTCCTCAAGGTGTCTGGCTGACATCTGGCGCCGACTGGCCTGCTCGCTGCTACACATCATCCGTCTGAGCAACGCCTACATCCTGATGCTGGCGGCCATGACATTCAATGGAATTCTGTTTGCGCTAATTATAGCCGGAAGTGGACTTGGTCATTTCCTCTTCCGCCCACTTTTACTGACGCTCTACACTGGTTGGCGCCAACGAAGGCGTCTCAAATCTCAGAATAATGACGTAATGTCATGTGATGAAGACAGTGCAAATGAAAAATGGTTGAAAACAGACGAAGAGCATGTCCAACTGCAAGAGATTACTTCTGACTTAAAGCTTTTGTCTATGAAGGATAAAGCGCGTTGTGAGGATGGTGTTTAGTTAATGTACTTTTTGTTTGTTTTGAAAGACTGGCTAGCTTCGAGTGCCACGGATAATTCAATTGTGAAGTCACAGACCCGGTGCTCGCTATCCTGATTTGAGTGCTTCTACATCTGTGTTGTGCGATGAGTTCTTTACTGGTGCCAGTGGTGTAGCAATTGGATGGTTCGTCGTCGCAAACAGGAGACCCGAGTTCCATTCTCAAGTTAGGAGAATTTTGTAATCGAGTATTTAAGTCGGTCTTTCAGTTGGGATAGTGAATCAATTTCAGCCTGGGTTGACACTAACAGTAACAGGCAGGATCGAAGCCCACCTCTTAGATTATCTAAATTGTGTATCAAGGGGCTTAAAAACACCTACATCGAAAAAAAAAAGATGTGTGGTTTTTTTTATCATGTCTTATCAGAGATATATCTGATCAGGTGTCTTGAATCTCTTTTGTACTGCTAGTAGTTTTGTGGAGGGTGTGCTGGGCTGTCGTATCCAACAAACTGGAAAAAGTGACTGGCTCTTGAGCTAATCAAAGATGATTTTTGTTCTACTGCACACTCTATATTTCTTGTCTACGTGTGGTTTGATAACATAGTTATCTAGAATCTATGGATAGGGGGCTCTCGTGGCCTAGATGTTAAGGTGTTGGCCTCTCATTCAAAATTCAAAAGGTCCCGGGTTCGAATCCGGGTAGCGATCGAAAAATTTTCTTCCCTAATTTGTCTCCTTTCACCTCATTTCCTGCTCTCTAGCAATGCTCTGTCGTCTGCTTTCGTCTCCTCTTTCTGCCCCCACCCCCTCACCTTCTTTGCCCCTTCCTCTGGGCTCCTGATTTTTTTTTTGCAGCCTTTCTGCTGCTACTCCTTCGCTTCTTCTTACTGCTGTCTTTCAGCCACACGCCTGATCTTCTGGTAGGAAAGATCTACACCTAGCCTTCTCGGACACGGGCGAAAAATCTTGGAGGGCCCATGTGCAAGTTGCTCACGTTAAAGATCCATTGGTGGTCTAAAATCGATAAGAGTAGGCTTTGGCCGCCACCCGGGCAAAATTCAAAATTTCCTACCAACTGAAAATAGGCGTGTCCCGCGCGCTCATATGACCTTATGCAGTTGCGAGAGCCGTAAAACACTTTACAAATTTAAAAAAATAAATCTATGGATAAGTATCAAAGTAGCCACTCAAGATGTAGGCCAAAGTCTAAGTGATGGATTGTTTTCGAGTCTTCTTTGGTTTATCTTCATGAATGGACAAACCCCTAGCAGTAATGGGGAATATCTAGTGGCTGAACCAGTATTAAGTGCTCCGATTTGTTTGGCTCTTCGTACAAAAGGTGGGTTTAGTTTGTTTTTTTAAAAATGTACCTTGAGCACAGGTTGGTTTGCAAATGGGAGAGATTGTCTTGTGTGTGTGTGTGTGTGTGTGTGTGTGTGTGTGTGTGTGTGTGTGTGTGTGTGTGTGA